CATTTTCACTTCAACAGGCAGTTTGCTAAAAATGTAGCTGCAGTGTATCACTGGACAAAAGTGAAAAACACAGAAAAATATGTGTGTGTGTGTGTGTGTGTGTGTGTGTGTGTGAGTGTGTGTGTGTGTATACATAGAGGTTAACACAAAAAAAAACCAATATCACTGGATCCTTGAGTCAAATACTGCAGCAGTGGCAAACAACACCTGAAAATGAAGAGGCAATAGCAACATTTAAGGGTAACTCATAGACTGTATATAATATCCAACAAGGAAACTACTTCTGCACAATTTGACTGTAGGGGCTTTATTTTCAAACTCACTTAAAGCAGCTTAGCCTTGTTTGCTGCTTTTGCACTATGGGCTAGATTTGGGTCATGAGAAGGGAGTGGGTTTTAGATTAAGTCAGAGAGGCTAACTACCCATGATTTTCTTTGTGTTCCGCATTTCTCAAAGCACTTGAACTTCAGGCATCCAAGTTTTCTTAAAATAATACAGGATCAAAACGCTGAGATGAAATAATGTTTTTATACAAGTGGTATATGTGCAGAGACTGCTGAGGAGCACAAATGAGAGCTGAGAGACCGTGTCCTCACAGATGAGCTCAGAGTATCCTCCCTCATGGAAGTAAGATTTGCAGTCCTCTATCCCTCCAGACCTCATCAGTTTACAGAGCCAAAGCAAGGAAGTTCAGTGGCACAGAGACATGCATTACCCAGTAAAGCAGCTCTTTTCATTCTCTTCTTAAGCCTGGAAACCCTCTGATGTATTCACCTGCCACCCTGAGCTATAGGTATGAACAGAGCAAGGAATGACAGTGAAACAGGCCATATAAGTAATTTCAAATTAAAACATAAGTGTCCACATCCATCTTTGAGTGCCTCTGGAAGATCTAAGTACTCAGGGACCACTATATTTCCAACAAGAACTCTGGCCTCAGGGTTCCCAAAACTCAGGTCAAAGCCGTGTTTATTTATAACACTCCTAGAAGGAGTTTGGGCAGAGGGAAGATGGATCAGGCTTGGAGAGTGGATTTGTGGTAATGAAGGAAAACAGCAGTCGGCTGGAGAGCTGCCAACAAAACAGTAGGAGGAAGCCTCCACCAGGCACTGGGCTGACTCAGGTATCTCCAGTCAAAACAGCCAGTGATGGCCATGTGAGCTGGGGACTGCACACCCATTCTCCTGGGTGGAACAAAGTCCATCCCAGCAAAGGTCTGACTGCCCAAGCTGTTCAGACTGTGGCAGCACACATTGGCTTTGACAGCTACGCATTTCAATTTTTTCATTGTTGTGTTGCAGTGAGAGGCTGGTGGAGAGCTGCACCTCTGAACAGCGGGGTATGGTTCCCCAGGAATCAGTGGGGCTCCTTTAGGCATTAAATGGGATGTTCTTCTCTGCAGCCTGCCTGGCACACTGTTGGATCTTTCTGAAACCAGCTCTGCCAGCCTCTTGTGGTCTGGGATGGATGGTGAAGAGAGATTCTGGCAGAAAATTAGTTTATTCTGCAGCTACCTTTTAATATGCAAAACACAAATGCTGAAATCTTGAAGTGAGGGTGGCTCTCTCAAAGGACAAAAAGAGACCGAGGAACTTCTTGTGTGTTAAGTCACTATGTGCTGATAGGATCAGCTTCCCAAAAATGAGCGTGGCCACTGGGCAACTGAAGTGAGAACACTAGGTGGGCACTAGTTGCCACTGGGCAGCTAGTGACAACATAAGTGAAAACACTAAGAGTGTTTTCTCAGCAACTAGAGGTGTCAGGACATGTGAGCCACAGCTTCACCTGAGTGCTTCCACAGAAGTGGCTCTGCAGGATGGCTTTCTCTTCTCATCAGGGAGACATGATGTGCTGTCTATGGCCAAAGGCTGCCTCCACCAAGGCCTAAACAGGCAGGTCCCAGCTAAGAGTTGTATGAGCCAATAAACCATCCCCATGCTGTGAGTGGTGTTTTAAACCCCTCAAGGGAAATTCAAGTAGCACATTTTCCTGGGAATGCTGACAACTGGTTCAAACACAGCACTCTGGATGGAGGCATCTACTTCAGGAGTAGCTCCTTTACTGTCACCTGCACCATCACCTCCACCTCAGGGCAGGGATCACATGTTTTAGATCAGCTGCCTGGCACTGACAAAAGCTGCAATCTATGCACCTTTTGCTTGTAGTGGCAGAGGGCATGAACAGCGGAGAATCATGCTCGAACCCTTTGTCTCCGCTCTTTGTGAAAAAGCTCAGTCTGGGAGACGGGGACTAGGAGAGGGCACTGAGGCAAAAAAGGGAAGTGGAAAAAATGAAGAACAGGTTCCTTTGACCAGCACCAGCTTGACATTTTCTCAACTCGCTTTTTACACATGAAAGGGAGGGTAGGACAGAAGAAGAAAGCATGAATGTAGAAGGAGAAGCAGGCAGAAGAGAAAAAATATCAAAGAAAAGGTGAAACAAGAAAAGATGTTCCCAGTGATGCTGAGACACTTGTCTGCACCCCTATACAAGCCCAAATCTGTCCTAAAGCATAAGAGGGAAAAAACCCAACCCAGCAGGATCTCTGTCAAACTAGATATTTAGGCTAAGAAGCATAGAGAATGGTAGAAAATGTTGTGTTAAAAGCTTCTGGGTTTAGTGCACAAGCAGGGAGGGGGGAAGCAGGGAGGGCATGGGGTGAGCACTTGAGTGAGGGAAAGAAGAGTGGCCACACATTGAGATCACAGGGGCAAGGGATTGCAATGGCTTTCAAATAAGCTTTAACCAAGAAACAGAAGTGTGTCAAAGTATAGTTGGGTGAAGGTAGAAGTCAGGAATAGCAGAATCCAATACAACAGCAACCAGCTGTCAGAAATCCCGGCACAGCCTTGTGACTAACAGCGTCTGGGAAGTACAGGGAGGAAGAGTCGTAAAGCCCAGGTAGGATGAAAACCTTGGGTGAAGAATACAGATGGACTCCCTCTCCATCACTCCTTTCAGTACCAAACACTATCTGTGATGAGAAGAGATAATAAAAAATGCAGAGAATACACAAGAGGCTCAGAGGTAGCACTAGTGGTGTAAAATGCATCTGGGAAGAAAGTGAGCACACCATAGGTCTATTCCCTGGAGTCGAGATGAGAACTGAGGACAGCAAAGGAGAACCCTTGGGATTTATATCCCTATCTTGGCATGCTTCATACTGAAAGCAGGAGATACCCAGGAGAATCTAGGACTGCAGCAGCACCAGCTTGGTGTTATGAATAATGGGAAACACTGCTCTAGGCCAGGGGAATTTTTTTGCACTGAGATTCTGATTCCAGCATTTCAGAATGGCAAACTAGGATTTTTGAATATTTTTTTTACAGTTTTCCTGGGAATATCAATTTAACAGAAAGAAAATGGACAGTAAAGAGTTCAGCTGCATCCTGTCATTGTATCTTTGCCCAGCTTCTCATCTTCCAGGAGTTTGTGTGTTGCAGAGTACTTGGTGCTGTTGTGTCTAGTTTGTTTGCAGCAGTTCAAGGGGGCTCCCATTCCTCACACACACCAGCTTTCCCTTGCCTTTCCCAGTTCCCCCTTTTTGGAAACTTTGCTGCCCAATTTTGCTGCCTCAGGTCAGACAGTTGCCCTGTTCCACACTGCTGCAGAACCTCCTCCAGCTCAGAAGCAGCACCGGAACACCTGTGTATGCTCAGCTCCTTGATGCAGACCTATGATGGAGTTAGAATTCCCTTGCTTTCCCATCTCCCTGCTTATATCTCTGCTGCAGTGCTACAGTCCTCCAGCTTTTCCCTTCCCAACTTTCATCTCTCCTGCAGCATTTGAAGTCACCCTGGCTTTGCCCATTGCCTCTAAGGTGCTCCATTATGTTCCTTTTCTACTCCTACTTTCTATTTCTACTCCCTTTCACTAGGCATATCGGGGGAAATGTTGCAGTAAAGTTTTCATATATGTGTGGAAGGAGGAAGGGGAGGAAGAGATCAAACTTCATAGATCCTGGAGACATTCTTGCGTGGCCTGCTGTGAAGGAAATAAACAGGAAAGAGGTGATAGAAATGTCAGGCCACAAGGTGAAGAGATCACCGGGGCCCAGAGATAGTTACATCATCCCAGGAAAGAATGAAATGACAGACTGCACCCGAGTATAGCATGAAAACATTGACACAGAGATAATTAATGTTCCTGCAACTGGACCTTGGCCTCACACAGTTCTTCAATTGCTTCCTGCCTGGTGTCGTTGCTTTATATGATTTGCTCTCTTTGAACACAGCAGCTCTCCCAGAGACTGTCTACCTCTTAACAGAGCTGTGAAATATAGGTGATGGAGTACATATAAATATTTCAGAGACAGGATTCATTTGACAAGTGGGGTCTTGAGAAGTGACCAGAGACATTGACTCCCAGATGGAAAGACGGGACAAATATGTTCAGTGGAAACAGTCGGGGGGGAGCAAAGGCATTCTTCATCTTTGCTTTCTGACAAGTAGAATCACTACAGGGAATGGTTTCCCTATAACAAGTAGCTTGCTTAGCAAGTGTGCATGGGAGTGCTGCCTTGCTGTCACCCATTGGAAACTCCATAATTATGAATGCTATGATTTATTAGGCCTCAAGCAATAATTATTAATTACCTTATTTAGCAAATGCAGTTATGTTCTTGGGTTTTGGCAGTATTTTTTCCTACTCAGAATATACTTTGGCAGTTTACTTTGAAATTCATCTTTCATAAGCATTTGTGCGAGTGAAACATGAGCATGTGCATTGAATACTAACACAAAAAAGGGGTGTGAAGCATACATTTTTGGATTTTTTTTTACTCATTAGACAGATACGTAATTCATACTCATTCAAACACCGAGGCACTATTCCATAATTTAATGAAAATCCCTGAAAAAAAAAAATAATGGAACACATAAGGGCTACACATAAATATCCTTATTTCAAAATTATGCATAGAAAAGAACAAGACTCATGTCTCCACAGTTTTATTTTATCACCATGAAGCTTCCTGGATCTGCAAACATCTCTTCATCTTGTTTTCCTTGGGTTGCCTTCAGCCTGCTTTGTGGAGATGTTGTCAATTTTGTTTTGTCTAACTATTATCAGCTCCTGCTTCTCCTCATGGCGTGGCAAAGGGGTTGATGCACCTGTACTTCTAGTGCTGGCTGCCTCCTTCTACCTATACACCCTTTATTAATGCTTCAACCACCCACTGCAGGGAGGAATAAATCCTTTTCAGCCAAGGGTTTATTGTATTAAAGAATAAATTTTCTCATATCAGGTGCTTCCACAGGTGCCCTGCTCTATGCTATCAGCTATGGAAAAGGCATCTTAAGAGTGTGAAAACCACAGTTTCCTGGCAAATTTTCCCTTAGTTATAACAAAAATAAATACAAGGGAAACCTAAACCACCACAAAAACAAACAAGGCAGTTTCATACTGGTGGTATCCTGGTAAGTGATAGAATAGAGTCCAGTGGTAAATTGCCTGCCGTGCCTTCCACGTGCATGGATGCAGGGCACTGGGGGGGACTCTGGGCCCTACGGTGATGGTGTCCTGTCTGTATCGCTGCTCTCTTCCTGGTGCATGCTACTGCTTTTCTCTTTCTGACTGAGCACCGTCTACAATAGAAGTAACTACTTGCTAATTAGGGGCATACCTATTAATTGCTTGTTTGATAGAGCATGACTGAGCCACTGGTGGCTCTTTGGGCCGTATCTTTTGATTTTTTTTAAATTACTTTTTAATCCAGGGAGTGACCTGTTCACATGACAAATCAGTGTCTGCCGGGTCCCGCATCCCTCGTCAGCTGCCGCGGGGAGAGGGCGTGGATGCAGAGCCGCGGGGCAGGGCCGGAAGCCCCCGGGGGCAGCGCGCCAAGCCCACGCGTGGCCGAGGCTGGGGCGCGCAGGGGCCAGTCCCGAGGAAGAGCCAGAGAGGACTCGCTGTCGCTAAGGGACACCCGCATCATCCCGTACACGGGAACCCCAGCTAAGCCATCGCTGGGGAAAAGGCGAGCCGGAGTCCGGCACCCGGGAGCAGAATGCGCCGCTAAGGGGGGTTTCCACGGCGCTGGCTCTGCTTTACGGTCTGGCTCATTGCTATGGACCCGGGACAGGCACGAGTGGGCTCGCCAGCTCAGGGGCAAGCAAGTCTAGGCTTCCCAGAAGCAGTATTTTATCTCCCTAGCAAAGCAGCCGGAGATAGAGATGGTAAAGGCAGGGCCCCGCGTAGCCGGCGCTGCCGGTGGTGATGCTCGGGGCTCGCTCAGCATCTTCCTCCTCCTCCCGGCCTCTCGCTCGGGCCCTACGCGGGGGCACGGGGAGCGGGGCATGCACAGCTTCCCCGCTCCAGATTTCACGTCGGAGCATCACCACAACCCGGGCCGGCTGTCCGGCGAGTATCGCGGCCCTCGCAGCCGCGCACCGGGCTGGGGCCCCGCACAGCACCCCCGCCCCGCAGGAGCGCCGCGCCCCGCCGCTCCTCCGCAGCATGCACAGGGCAGCCCCGCCAGCCTGCAACCTACCTGGGGGGCCCCAGAAACTTTGCTGGCACCAACGAGCACCAGCACGGGAGACACCCCGGAAACCTGCGCTGCCCCCCATCTCTTGGCATCTCAAGTCCCAGCCGGGAGAAGCCGACCTTGCCGCGAGGGTCCTAAGGATGAGAGTACCCCGGACTGACAATCGGTCTCCCGCCCGAAGCAAATCCCTTTTTCTCCCATTCCTGCGGTCTTGTCTATCATTGGGCCAGGGCGAGGCGTGGGGAAGCTCGCAGAATTGGTTAGGAGGCAGGGCTCTCCCCAGCACACCGGCTTTAATTGGCTCTTTTTTTTTTTTTTTTTTTTTTTTTTTTTTTTTTTAAGAGAAAGGGATGAAATGATGAAGAGGGTAGGGGGAAAACCTGGAAAGCCAACAGAGTAGAAAATAAGGCGAGGCTGGCAGACCCGGCAGGCAGGTGTGAGGCGCCCTCGGGCCAGCCCCGCTGGCGGGCGCGGGCAGCCCCGGACGCCCCGTCGGAGGGAGGTGGAGCGGAGTGGCCCAGGGCCGGTGGGGAGCGGTGACGTTCCCGGCAACTTCTGCAGGAGATTTTGGCTCTTCAGGAAACAGCGGTGGGGTAGAGACCTCCTAAGCGGTTTCCAGCTGACGTCTGGCAGGAGTAGCTCAACTTTGTCCATCTTCTTGTCCCGCATTGCCGGCTCCCCTCCAGTTGCAGCCCGTTAGTTCCCATTAGGAGCTCCGGCAGCCGTCGAGGGAGAGAGGCACGGGCCCCTGTACAGCTGCAAATCCTCTGCGAGGCGGGCGGAGCAGGAAAGCACGGAGGCGACGCACCCACACGAGGCTGGCACAACAACATCAGGGAAAGTTTTGAAGGGCGAAGGACCTGGCAGGCTGGGGAGGAGGCGAGAAGAGCCGGGCTGAGCTGCAGGCGCTGCGAGGGTGCGTGGTCTCTCTGCTCCTCGGTTGCTTCTCCCTTCAGGCTGGTTGGGGCGGTGCAGTGCAGCTGAGGGAGCTCTTGGGAGCCGCTTAAAAAAAAAAAAATCCTTCCTGGATTTGATTAATTACAACAATCCCCTCCTCAGAAGGTCTGGAAAAGAGGAGCGAGAATCACCTATCCCTTCCTCCGCCTTTCAGCAGCTGGCTACTACTCCCCACCCTCGCTTCCCCCCTCTTTCTCCACCTCCTTCTCCCCGTCCGCTCCAGGGGCTGCGGCCAGAGCCTCGTCAGGAGGAGGGAGGGTGAGGACTCACTCAAGTTGGCCCCAGTTGGCAGCACTTCGGGCAGCGCGGGACTTGGGGTAGCGCTCGGCAGTTCCTGAGGAACAAAGGAGCCCGGGCTGGCCCGGGTCCTGATCCTGCCCTACCCGGTGCCGGCCCGGTGCCCCTGGCCTTTCCCCGTACCCCGAGTGCGGGCGCGGCTGCCTGTTCGCCTGGAGATCCTCGAGCAACCTGGAGAGGGGAAGCGGGAAGCGGTACTCCGCGTTTCTGCCCTTCCTGCCTCCTTCTCTCGCTCTCTCCCTTCCTCCTTCCTTTTTTTCTTTCTTTCTCTTTTTTTTTTTTTTTTTTTCTCCTAAATTTTAAATTTTACCCTCAGGTGGCCCCTGTGTGGGGGGGTCCCTTCCTCCGCCCGAGGGGCACCGGTTCCCGCCGCGGAGCGGGGCGCATGGGGCGGCGTTTCGGGAGGCTTTCGGCTGCTCCTTGCTCCCCCGCCGGATGCTGCCTGAGCTGTTTTGGCTGTTTTTCTTCGCCGGCGATGAAGGCTCTGCCTTGAAGATGGACATGATCTGGTTTTTATTCCTGTCTCTGGTGCCCGTGTACAGCAGGGGACAAGGGGTGTACGGTAAGACACGTTGTCGCTGTTCGCGAAGGAGGGGTGGGGGGCGAGGGCGCAGACGGCGGCGGTGGGATCAAAGTTAAAAAGCACCTGCAGGAGAAAGTAAATGACGCCGCCGAACCTCGTCTCAGCCTGAGCGGAGAGACTGACGCAGCAATAGGGCTTCCAGCGCCTGTAGCCACTTCATAATTTCTCGCCGTAACCTCTGGCCGCCTCCCATGTACGAATCCGCCGGGATGGCACGGAGGGACCGCCGGCGGGACTGCCGCCGGGAGAGCGACTGGAACCCCGGCCCTGCCTCCCCTCTCCCCACCTGCCTCGCGTGGGGACGCCACGCTGATGTCGGCGGGGGCGGCTCTGGGAGCACTTCCGAGTTGCATTTTCTTTGGGGCCGGGGGAGGACAGGACGGAGGATCCCTTTTCGGCGATGCGCTTGCGGGTTTCTTTGGTCTCAGGAGCACCGGCGCGGGGAAGCAGGGAGAAGGGCCAGCGGACTGCCTGGTCGGGTTCCCTGCGTGCCGGGGGCTGCTCCCTCCCGCCACGGGCACGGCTCCAGCCGGCTTGGTTCCCCACGGCCAGCCCCGCCAGGCTCCCCGTGGGGGCGAGGCGAGGCTGGTTTTGCACCCCGTGGAACTTTGCGGCTGATTTTCTTCTCAAGGCGATGGAGATGGGTGGGTGGTGGTCTGTGCCAAAGATGATACCGAGTTGCTTGATTTTTTTCCCCCCTTTTTCCCATTATTAATTTTGCATTCACGGAGCTTACTTCCTCTCCTTGTTTGCAGGCGAGCTCGGGCGGTCTCCTCATGAGAGGTCTGGCTTCCGCAGCCCCTCAGTGCGAGGGCAAAGGCGGGGGATGACACCCGGTGCCGCCGAGCACAAACCCCGGGCTGAGAGTGCGCCCTGGATTTACTTTAGCCAGATGTGCAGCCCCCTTTCCCTCTCCCAGCCCCCTCTGAATTCTTGCTTTACAAGATCTGCATTTCCAATACACTGGGAAAAAATAAATAAAAGCAACCCACAAGTCTTGTCTCTCATAACAAGCCGGCTTTATCTTGGCTTACAAATCAGTTGTGCATTGCTGTTAAGTCCTTCTGGAAGGCATGCCACTGCCTCTAACAAGCCAAGCTCTCTGAGCTCTGAAGAGAGACCCCAGTGAGAGAGTCCAGCCCCCCCGCTCCCTCTTTTTTAACAGCACGCAGCCAGTCTCTTGTGTGAGCTCTGGCAAAGATCAGTTCAGACTCACTGACTATGGGTAAGTCTTTGTAGGTCACTTTTTAATGATGCATTTCTTTAATGGAAACAATTCCTTCTTTTCTCCTTGAGGACTGGGATGTTAATTTGAGTTTGGGTCTGTTTTGTAAAATAACCATTTTAAATAGAGGATGTTTAGCTTCCTCTATTTTTTTCTTTCTTCTCAGTAATGTGTTTTCTCCTAGTCTGCATATCCAGATGAACATTGTATGACCCCCGAAAGGCTGGAAAGATGAGGAGTAGAATGAGTGTGTGGTACAAAAACCTGGTCAGGGCATATAATTCAATCTTTTGAAACAGGTAATCTGCTTCTAGCTGAACTTTTATTATTTCACTTCAGGGTTTTGCTGCTGAATAGCTAGCTGTCAGTTGCTGTAGAATGGACTCACTGCTTAGGATTATAGCAAGAGGGACAGAGCTTAAAACCAGGTTTGCTTAAATGTGCTTTAGAGGGTTGTCTGTTGTATTTTTTCATACACTTCAGGGAACTTGCATTTGACAAAGTTGCTTCTATTAGATCTTCAGAATAACTTACTGATTTTGTCTTACTGTTATTACTGTTATTGTCTTCTTCTCTCAGAGAGAGATTAAAGAAAGCGCAGATGCACACATACACTAAGATGAAGGCATCCTTTTAAGCCAAAATGCTCCACTACTTCTATCTGTTCTCTTACTTAACTACACAAAGGGGAAATCTAGTGTCTTCCTTCCTCTCCCCACCCCTACCTTTTCAAACTATCAAACAACAGGAGCCTTAATACGCAGATGTCACTGAGTGCAGCCCAGAGCAGTGTCTTATGGAATCAGCACGCTGCAAACTTGGATGGTGACTAATAGTTTTCTTATTGTCTTTCGAATTCTGCCTTGAGTCCACTACCCTGGGCTGATTTCATGCTTTCTGCAGCCAGCACTGTTTCTTTGGATGTGAGATTGCTGTTACTGATGGCTCAAGAAGAGCTTGTTATATGTGCAAAAGTAAATAAAAAGCAGGATTAGAAATTAGTCCCACTGCTCCCGCTCCACTCGGATTTTTCCTCTGTACTGGTCTCTTGCCATAGCTTTAAGCTGTACTTCAGCATTCTGTGTTGTGAATGTCGATCTCATGTGGCACCTAATGTAAAAATTATGGGAACTCCCGTGTCACGGTTCAGATCTCTTTTCCTGCCTTTTCATATTGGCAATGGAGACTGGGGGAGGCATCTATATAGGTCTATAAATATATTTTACTTTAGCAAATCTCCAGAGATTAAATCAGATTAAACAAGATAAAGTATCCATGTGATGTACCCTTTAAATAATACACCCACATGAATGTGCAAAAAAGACCTTTGTCTGGGAGAGCAGAGTCGTTGGAGAGGTTTATTGAGATGAATGGTATAAATAAAATGTGTATAAGGGGGAAGGAAAGAAGCATTTGCAATTGAGGTGCAATTTAATTAGGAGTCAAGGTGCTTTTTGCCTGCTACCTGAAGAGGCTTGTTATATAAATTGGCATTTGTTGTAATGACTGAAGTGTGTCTGAAACCCTCTTCTCATTAGCTGATCCTATTCTTTCAGCCTTGTTTGTTGCAGTGAGACAAGGCTGGCCTGATGGGGAAGGCAATTGAGCAGACTGCCAAGAGACAACTTTTATCAGCCTTTTGTGGTAGCTTATTTCCCAGACTGCATGTGCTTTTCAGTCCTGGTGTGTTAGTGCTGCTGGTCAAGATGAGAAGCCAACTGGAATAGATCTTTAGAAAATGTCAGAATTGAGGAGGAGGAAGGAAGAGGTAGGGAGACAAGGGACTTGCCCTGCAAGGCTCGGAGTTATCAACACTTAAAGACTCTAAGTTAGACTGAGAGGGGAGGACTGGGGTGTGGTGGTGGCATTCAAAGGGAAAAGCATGCCTCTTGCCTCCCACTCTTTCTTCTAGACTCCAGGACTTGGATAGCTCTGGTTTGGTGTGCACAGTGCTGCTGTTGTGCTTGCTCCATGTGCAGTGTATAATTAACATTTCTGGGTTGTCTTGCAATTAGCACAGTCCCACTAATCAGCAGCAGCCTTTCAGGCAAAATAAGTGGGATGTTTTGTCCCCTGCCTCTCTTAATTCAACAGCAGAAAAGTCATTACAGGAATGGGCATCACTGTGTGTGGTGAGGGGCTACATACAGCAAGGTGATGGAAATGTTTAGGCTGGGCAGCAAGGAAAGCTGCCTGGCACCATGATCAGAGGGGGCTGCACTTGAAACTGGCGGGGTGAAGTATTTGGAGCGTCAGGTAGTCCTGCCCTGGCCTCAGAGGTGGGGAATAAATGACCTGTTATGGCTCTTTGTTTTAAGAGACACCATCACATTGAACCATCCCTGAAATGCCACTACAGAGAAAAAAAAAAAAAAAACCAAAAAAAAAGAGAACAAAAAAAACCCCAAAACAAACAAAAAAACCAAAAAAACCCCACAAAAAACAAACTAGTCAAGACTGTTTTCTTGTGTCTGTAATGGAGGAGTGTCATAGTAAAACATATCCAGTGTTTAGGCTATAAACATCCACACTTTTTCATTTCATGTACACATGACATGATTTGTTTCCTGCTCCTTTTATCTGTTGCTCTTTTGTTTGTTTGTTAGTTTTTTTAAGTAAAAACACTTTTCCTAGAGTTTTTTTTAATGTAGACTGCCTCACACCTTCTTGCAACCTATATACCTCCATATCTTTTGCTGACAGGAGCACAGGCACTCTAATGTCACTCGGAGCCTGCTGATGTGAATCCATCCCTCTCACATGCCTCTGCCTAGAGTTGTTTTGTCAGCAGTAACAGGGGGCCAAGACATGGAGCTCTTTGACTACATTGCTGTCATTTCAGTGCATTGTTGGCTAAAGGAATGATAGAGCTGGCTCCTGTGAGCCACTTCTTGGCTGATTGTGTTGGGAAAATGCAATGCTTGAGCACAGTGGCCCTCCAAACTAAATATGTGTGTGTACACATATATACATGGATGTACAGACATTCTTTGTGCTCAATCATTTCTCTTTGTTGTCCAGATCTTAAATCTGTGTTTGGCTTAGGCTGTATAGTGTTTGAGGAATGAGTTTTCTAACTGGAGCGCCATAGGACGAGCTTCACCGATGGACTGGGTTGGTCCCAGATTTGCATAGTTCTTGATCAGCTCTTATAGGTCAAGGCATTAGATCTGTCCAGCTCAGCAGTGCTTCAGAATGCCTTGCTGTTCTTCAGTTGTAATGTGTCAGATTCACTCTTCTGTGACACTAGAGCCTCTGGTTTTAGGTCAGGTCAGTAGCTTCACACATCAGATAAACCCTCAATTGACTTTAATATGCAGTACTAGAAAACTGACATTATCCTCTTGACAGGTGGTTTGCAACTTGCTGGATGAAGTCAAAATATTTCACTATAGGTGTCATCAGAAACCATCATCCTATGCTAATTTTTGTGGGAACATGAAGACAGATGTTGAATAATTTGACATGAGCAGCACAGCTTTTAAAATTACCACCCTGTCAGGTTCACAGTGGAGTTTCTGAAATATATATATGTATATATATATATATATATGATTTCAGATGAGTTTGAAAGAGGGGGGCAGGTGG